TTTTAGTAGAGACGGGGTTTCACCATGTTGACCAGGATGGTCTCGATCTCTTGACCTCGTGATCCACCCACCTCGGCCTCCCAAAGTGCTGGGATTACAGGCTTGAGCCACTGCGCCCGGCCTGAAGGTCAAATTTAATTGGGCCTCATATTTTATCTGATAACCCTACAAAGTTAACATATACAAGTAATCAAAGTAGCATTGTTCATAACAGCAAAATCTGGAATTCTCTTACATTTCCATTGAGGAAATAATAGATAAGCTGTATATTTGCAAAATGGAATATTAGATAGCAGTGAAAAGAAATGAACTACAGTTATGAGTAATAATATAAGTGTGCTGGGCACAGTGGCTCACACCTATGATCCTAGCATTTTGGGAGGCTGAGGCAGGTGGATCACCAGGTCAAGAGATCAAGACCATCCTGGCCAACACGGTGAAAGCCTGTCTCTACCAAAAATACAAAAAATTAGCTGGGCAAGGTGGCAGCGCCTGTAGTCCCAGCTACTTGGGAGGCTGAGGCAGGAGAATTGCTTGAACCCGGGAGGTGGAGGTTGCAGTGAGCTGAGATCATGCCACTACACTCAAGCCTGGCAACAGAGCGAGATTCTGTCTCAAATAATAATAATATGAGTGCATCTTGGAAACAAGTTTTAAAAGCAATGCAAAGAATACATATTACATATTGCAATACCATTTTCATAAAACTCAAAACCAACCGCAACTAAAAAATATATTGGTTAAACATACATACATATGTGATAAGATATATACATAAGAATGAGAAACAAAACGCAAGGAAGTTATATTTTTTCAGATTTGGTCTCACGCTGTAGCTCAGGATTGGGGTACAGTGACATGATCTCAGCTCACTACAACCTCTGCCTCCTGCAACCACTGCCTCCCACAACCACTGCCTCCCAAGCTCAGGTGATCCTCCCACCTCAGCCTCTGGAGTAGCTAAGACTACAGATGTGCACCACTATGCCCGGATAATTTTTTTTGTATTTTTTGTAGAGATGGGGTTTCACCATGTTGCCCAGGGTGGTTTCCAATTCTTGGGCTCAAGATTCTCCTGCCTTGGTCTCCCAAGTGTTGGGATTACAGGCGTGAGCCACCACACGCAGCCAGTAATTGTGATTAAAGTATAGTACAGGCAAAGGAATGGGTTGGAGGAGGCAATCACAGATTGATGTGAAGGTATTGGTAATGTTCTGGTTCCTATACAGGTGAAAGGTGCACAGTTGTTTAACAGCTATGCTTTTTATCTCACACATCACATAAATTTTTCTGTGACATAAAATATTACATTTAAAAAACAGGTCAAGAGGCCTGGGTGCAGTGGCTCAAGCCTATAATCCCAGCACTTTGGGAGGCTGAGGTGGGTGGATCACCTGAGGTCAGGAGTTCCATAGCAGCTTGGCCAACATGGTGACACCCTGTCTCTACTAAAAATAAAAAAATAATTAAAAATAAAGCCGGGTATAGTGGTGCATGACTGTAAAAAAAAAAAAAAATTATCTGGGTGTGGTGGTGCATGCCTGTAACCCCAGTTACTTGGGAGGCTGAGGCAGGAGAATCCCTTGAACCCAGGAGGCAGAGGTTACAGTGAGCCGAAATCACACCATTGCCCTCCCGCCTGGGCAACAAGAGCGAAACTCCATCTCAAAAAGAAAAAGAAAACAAACACACACACACACCAGAAAACAAAAAAAAACAGGTCAAGGATCAGGAAAGTAAAGCGAGTTGATACTCCATTTACAGACAGAAAGTCCAGTGTTTTTCTGTTGTATCAGGATAGCTCTCCTAAAGAATGGCATGCCTTTCTTTTATTTATTTATCTAATGTTTTGAAACGGAGTTTCACTTTTGTTGCCCAAGCTGGAGTGCAATGGCGCGATCTAGGCTCACCGCAACTTCTGCCTCCCAGGTTCAAGCGATTCTCCTGCCTCAGCCTCCCGAGTACCCAGGACTACAGGCATGCGCACCACGCCCGGCTCATTTTGTATTTTTAGTAGAGACGACGGGGTTTCTCCATGTTGGTCAGGCTGGTCTCGAACTCCTGATCTCAGGTGATCCACCCACCTTGGCCTTCCAAAGTGCTGGCATTACAAGCGCTAGCCACCGGGCCGGCAGCATGCCTTTCAATCAGAGAAACTGTCTAAAGTTCAAAATGCCACTCCATAGCTAGCTCCTAGGGGAAGGAAGCTAGGTGGTAGAGTGTACACAAAAAGCCAATTCATCCAAATAATAAGTAGGTATTTTCTGTAGCACAGGGGTGAATACGTGGAGGGCAGGAGAGGGCTGTTTACAAGAGGGTATGAAATACAGCTCTTCTTCTCAAGAGCGGTTGCAGAATATCAGGGCTACAAAGAGAGGACCACACATGAAGCGCCGTATTATGTGGGTGGACTATTAGGGTTCTTGATGTCCAGAAGGAGAATGAGTGCAGTTTATTTCCTAGCAAGCCTTCTTTAGCTTCTTTTCCCACGTGTGGATGGGTTGGGGTTGGGACTGTTCTTTCCTAGCTCAAAAGTTCACTTATGTCACACTACAGTCACTTTAAAGGAGAGTGCTAGTAAGTGTAAAGTCAAGTTACATAAACTTACAGAAAATGAACCTAAAACCGCTCGTGAGCAAACACAACACTTGAGACGTAAACCTTTTCAACAGAAAGGCGGATCTTAGCACTCTGGGTAAAAGCTATCTCAGCCAGTAAAACAGCAGAACGCTTTCACCTACGCGAAGCAAGCACCATGACCGGTAGCAAGAGCCCGGATAAAGGCGGAGCTAAGCGTGCCGGATAATGCGTCATGGAGCGTGTGTGCGTCACGTCGTAGGGGGCGGGCCGTCCGTGTTTGGTTTCCTGGGCTACCGCCGCCCGCTGGTCCGCGAAAGGTGTGCGGACTTCTGGAGCCATGGGGACTCCTCCGGGCCTGCAAACCGACTGTGAGGCGTTACTCAGCCGCTTCCAGGAGACGGACAGTGTACGCTTCGAAGACTTCACGGAGCTCTGGAGAAACATGAAGTTCGGGACTATCTTCTGGTGAGTGCTTCTTGCCCACCACTCGCCTCTCTCTGCCCACCGGTGGTGTAGAAAGTTGCCTCCCTCCCGGCGATATTGCCCTTGGGAAGGGCTGAGAAGATCTGCAGTCTCCAAAGGTTGCCTCCATCACTGCGGGACCTTCCCCTATGCACAGGCCACGCGGTTTCTCCGCTCTATTTCATTGGGCCCTGATGGCTGTTGCGGCCTCCTCCCAAATATGCGTCTCTACCTGGCCTCCCTTTTAAACTCTCTCGGTCTCCACTGCCTCCACCCTCACCCAGGCCACTATCATTTGCCCTTCTTCAGTCTTGTTCTGGGACCTCACGTTTAAAAACAAAACACACAAGCAAAGACAAAACCGTTCAAGATTGAATTAATCTTTCCTATAACAACCAAAATTGTCTTTTTTTTTTTTTTTGAGACGGAGTCTCGCTCTGTCTCCTAGGCTGGAGTGAGGTGGCGCGGTCTTGGCTCACTG